AGGGCTCACCAGAAAATAAGAATTCCGTCCTATCAAAAAATGCTTCCCGTCTGACATTTACTTCTGTTCCATATTAAAGCAAAACTGGGTGACTCTATAGGAGACACTACTGCACAGCTGCTACTGTGCATTTATTTAGTACTTGTACAGGTTTCCCTCACTTTACGTTGTACATGTTCCTGGAAAACAGCACGTAACTCAAATTCGCATAAAGGGAACCCACTTTACAATGTAACAAATAGGGATACGTTCCAAGACCTCGACTGTACTGACCCCCAGACCCATTTCTACCACTTTCACAAGACAGTTTTCGTGCTCACCAACAGCAAACAGTACACACAAGCACCGGGTGGTGACTGTTTAGCTGGTGTGAAGCAAGGGTGGAAAAGGCTCTCCAGTGTTAGTGAAGTTCTCTTGTGCTTCATTGATGGACAAGGGAGAGGGGTAGGAGATAAGCTAGCGGGATGCTTAGAAGCTATAATAGGGACGGCAACTACAGAAACACATCACAGACAATGAGCAAGGAGCACAGATCCACATGGGAGACTATATTTTGGTGTGCATCACTCCCACAATGCACCACACAGAGCAGCTGACTTCAGGCTTCCACCACACCAGTTGCATAAGAATGAATTTACCTCACATATAATGATTTTTTAGTAAAAAAAGGGTCAGCACATAAGAGTGAATTCGCACATACAGAACCCGCATAAAGCAAGGGAAACCTGTTTTAGCAACTATTAAATAAATGTGCATAACTGGAGAACATCTTTTAAGTGGTGCTACTGCGCAGTAGCCCAATAATAGGTCTGGAACGGGCTCCCAAGGGAGGTGGTGCTCTCCCCTACCCTGGGGGTCTTCAAGAGGAGGTTAGATAGGCATCTAGCTGGGGTCATCTAGACCCAGCCCTCTTTCCTGCCTATGCAGGGGGTTGGACTCGATGATATATTGAGGTCCCTTCCGACCCTAACATCTATGAATTTCTATGAATACTGTGCATTATTTTTCAGCTACTGCACAGTCAGCATCTTATGTAGATGTGCCCACTCAGAACTTCCAATGCTTTTCATGAAAAAATAAGAGAGAGCAAAATCCATCCTAGAAAAATCATTATTACCAGTGGTTCGGGAACCCACCTGGGGTGTACAAGACACAGGTTTAAACCCCTGCTCCAAGTAAAGTAAAATGTTCTTCTTATCAGTTTTGAAAAAACTTTTACTATGAATTTCTGTTTCAGAGAAACATAGTGTCTCACCCCAAAACAGCTCATATCCTGGTAGCAAGAAGATGCACCTGGTATATAGGAGATCCAGGTTCAAGACCCTGGTCTGAATCACAGTAATGTAACAATGGGTGGGTAAACAGGGTACAAGTCCTAGATGTGCCTGAATGGAGCTAGGGGGGGCACCTTGCTACTGTCCCCTGTTCCTCCACTGCACTCTGCAGCAGCACCAGTAGTGGTGGCTCATGGTGGCCTGGGTGGTAGCAGTGCATGATACAGGAGCTGCAGCCAGAGGTTCACTGCTGAGGGGAAGGATGTCACCTCCTTTGTTGCTATTGAAAATCAGTTTTTAAGTGGATACTTGACACACACCAAACCCAAAAAAGAGGTGACATATCCATCCTCCCGCATATCAGTGACCCTCCAGCCGCTGCTTCTGCACCAGACACCACCATCATCCAAGGCACCGTACTAGCCAGTTGCACCTCTGCTGAGTCAGACAGACTATAGATTGGCCTTATCAATGGGATTGGCCTAATTAGTGGAACATTTGCATACTGTTAGTGGCCATTTCTTTCTCTAACCAGAGATTTCCATGGAAATGGAGAAATTTGCCTGACAAAATTTAATCATATCTAATGATTTGCCACAAAATTTTTTCATGATTCAGCATTTTTTGGTCCGGAAAAGTATTCCATCCAAACAGCTCTTGTACAAGATGGATCCTAATGGCAGCGATCAGCAGCAGGAGATGCCAACGATAATATGCGTATCAGGACAGAATAAAACAGTAACAGTAGATCAGGCCAGTGCCTCCAGTAATCAAATCCATTTTGAATAGAAGCATTCTGTCTCACGTCACAAATGGACATTCCAATGTCAATGGCAGCACCTTCACTTTGCCTCAGCATCACAAGCTACGATGGCAGATCCTTGTATGCCATTTTCAGTTACAGTAGTATATGAGTCTGTGGTTTGAGCCTGGTCTGCAGCAGCCTTGATTTTCCTCAGAGGCTACTTGGGATCATTGGTTGGACTGCACATTCCTGAGACATAATCACTGTCCAGCTTCTCTGACTGGACTCCTTTCACAAAGCCAGATGCCTACCTCCTTTAGATATCCAAGTAGCCCCAAGTCTCCAAAGGTATCTTTCAGCTATCAAACACACTTTGGTTTTCGCTCTTCCTGCCTTTCTGTTGCTGGGCCTGAGTTTAGAGGAACTCTCCTTTGCCATCTTAGGTACAAATTCTGAAACCCATACACACACACTGGCTACATCTACATATTCATTAACCTGCTTTAGTTAATGCACATTAAATCTAATACCTCCTGGCATTTTGACATATGCCCCGGGGGTAGGGGGACAGCGCCAAGGGTTGCTCTAATTAAAGCACCACCACATCTCACGTATCAGTGTCTCTGCACTTAAAAATGGTGGCACGGGTGCTTAAACTAAAGTTCATCAAACAAACTTTAGTTCAAGCACCCCTGCCACCATTTTTAAGCAAAGGGGTGCTGATATACGAGACACAGGAGGATGCTGGAGCACTGTAATTGCCACGCTCCAGCAGACTCAATTAATCAAGTCTGCTCCAACACACTGTAATTCCAGCGCATCGGAGCAGCCTCCACACTCGTGTATAGGTGCCCTCCATTGTGAGGTACTAGGGAAATGCATATTAGTTTAGTTAATGTGCATTAACTAAAGAGCAGTTTTTTCAGTGATGCTTTAATACACATTACAATAGTCTAATGGCATTAAAGCACACAAGTAGATGTGCCCACTATGTAGTACCTCACCTATGAATAATGCAAGCTGACAGTAGTACTTGCCCAGGGCAGCTGTGGAATCCCCTTCACTGGAGGTTTTCAGGAAGAGGCTGAATAGCATGTGCCTGGGATGGGTTAGGAACAGAGCATCCTATATCTGTTCAAAGGGTTTTACCAGATAATCTGCCAGGTCCCTTTGCAGCCTAGGATTCTCTGAAACTGGGGAAGTAAGGTACTGCCCCAACAGGAGTTAGAATGGCCTTTTGCTCTGAGCTGTCTTGGTCTATTGGGCTTTACTTCTTCCTTCCCCTCTGCCCTGCTGGTGTGTTCACATCAGTTCTGGAGAGAGGCGAAAGAGGAAAATATAGTCAGAAAAAAGAGTTAGGGGAGAGCAGAGGGACTCCTCATGACCCTCCATCCTTTGCTCCTTTCTGCAGTGGGAAGTGATTTCAAACAAAGCACTTGAGTTCTGGCCAATCAGAGTCGGCCTTCTCCAGTTGCCAAGGAAACCTTCCTTCCTCTGGTGCCTAGCCCATGTGGTGACACCTTGCATTGTGCTGTGTGCTGTCGCCCGCATGACCGTCTCTCAGAGGTACCTGCTTGATTCCTGTACGTATGTAATTTGTGCGGGTCCTTTGGGATGAAAGGTGCTCTATAAATGCAAACATTGCTCTGGATCTGGGACAATGCCATGAGCCCTTTTTCCTCTGCCAAGATGCCTGTATTGCAGGCTGCGAGCCCCTGCAGTGAATCCAGCAGCTATTATGCATAGTTATCGGGAATGGATTGTTTGATCTGTGTCTGATGAAACCCCTTGATTTAAAAGGCTTCTTCTTAGGGGCTGAGGATGTCTGTACTAAAAAGGGAAAATGCTCTTTTCTGTAGCCATTTCTGGAGTGCTGTCCAGGTGAATATCAACTCTCTAAATCAGAAGCGGGGTGGATGGGTTGAGGTTGTTTGATAGTTTATTGTAAATTCAGAACACAGGGTTTTGCCCGCCGAGAAAGTTATACCTTTCCATAGAAACAGGTTTTTCCACATGTTGGAAATGATTTGAGCTAATCAGAATAACCTGAATGAAAGAAGAATGATCTGTCTTTTACTTTTAAAGGGCCAGATCCCAACGTGCTTGCTTAAGTTGAGTAGGATTTTGCTTTGCCAGTAGCCCATTGATCTCACTGGTGCTGTTTGCAGAGTAGGGTAATATCCATCAAAATCTGGCCCTAAGGAGCTGGAAGATTAACTCTGCCCAGGTCCGTTTTTCATTATATTTACCATCCTCGCAGGGGGGTAATTAAATCATTCAGGTTTGCAAAGCACCTCCAGAGAGATGAAAAAGCACCGTTCTCATTAATGATGATATTATTCTATTTCATTGCAAGCTGCCGGGACTGCTGAGATTTTGCGCAAAATGACATTGCTATACAGCCCCCCCCAGCTCTATGCCTGCTGTTTGAATTGGGAAATGCCGACCGCTTTGGTTTCTCATGCAACGCTGCCAGTATGTGAAACAAATCAAAGACCCCTTTGCCTGTGAGGGGGGCTGCTTGTGATTGGATCTAGTGAAAGTGTAACACAGGGATTTGACTGCTCGGGCAGCACCACTGAAGAGCACATTGTGCAGCTGCCGCTGCTCCATGAACTGCAAACTCTCATTTCCTTCTCTTTCTCTCTCTCTCTCTTTCTCTCTGCATTTGTACCATCTGCATGCTGAGAAGTGTACCAGGCAGCCAGCATCTTCCAATCCCTGCAGCATTCTTCAACCCTCAGCAGCAAACCACTCTTTGACAAGCAACAGCCATTCATCCCTCAGCAGAAACCATCTCTCCTGACACCAGCCTCCATCCTTCTGCAGACTCCATTCCCTGACAGTCAAAGACATCCATGCCCCCATCCTCTGCTTCCACCCCTGTTACCACCACATCACCCATGCAGTAACATCCTTCATCACCCAACAGCCTCTCTCCTTCCCACCACCCATCATTCCTCCATGGGAAAGCCGTCAACATGAGCACAGATGCTAACCACCTGCCTACAGGATCCCAGGAAGTGAGCGGGGCTCTGTGGACTCCATCCAGCTGGACGGCTTCAGATGTCCCTCCCAACACCAGTGCCTCCTTGCCAGAGCAGCCAGGGGAAGAGGAGTGGGGAGGCAATGTTGGAGAGATTGCAGGCATGGTTGTGATCCAGTTCATTTATGCCCTGGTGTGTCTGCTGGGGCTGGTAGGCAACTCACTGGTGATCTTTGTTATCCTGCGCTATGCCAAGATGAAGACAGCTACCAACATCTACTTGCTCAACCTGGCCATTGCTGATGAGCTTTTCATGCTCAGTATCCCCTTTGTGGCCACCTCTGCTGCCCTACACCACTGGCCCTTTGGTCGGGCCCTGTGCCGTACCGTGCTGGGCGTGGATGGTCTCAACATGTTTACCAGTGTCTTCTGCCTGACTGTGCTCAGCCTGGACCGCTACATCGCCGTGGTGCATCCACTACGGGCAGCCACCTACCGCCGGCCGCGGGTGGCTAAGATGGTCAATGGAGGGGTCTGGCTGCTCTCGCTGCTGGTGGCTTCACCCATCCCCATCTTTGCTGGCACAGCCACCACGCGAGACGGCCATGCGGTGGCTTGCAACCTCCTGTGGCCTAGTCCAGCTTGGTCGGCCGCTTTTGTGGTCTACACAACCTTGCTGGGCTTCCTGCTGCCAGTACTGGCCATGGGGCTGTGCTACCTGCTGATCGTGGGCAAGATGAGGGCGGTGGCTCAGCGGGTGGGCTGGCAGCAGCGGCGGCGCACGGAAGGGAAGCTGACCCGGCTGGTGCTGATCATTGTGGCTATGTTTGTGGTGTGTTGGATGCCCTTCTATGTGGTCCAGCTGGTGAACTTGTTGCTGCCCGGCCGCCTGGATGCCACAGTCAACAACGCATCCCTCATCCTCAGCTACTCCAATAGCTGTGCCAACCCCATCCTGTATGGCTTCCTCTCTGAGAACTTCAGGCACTCATTCCAGGGGGTCTTGCGGAGATGCTTTGATGCCAGCTTCTGCTGCTGCCCAGTGGACCTGGATGAGGCAGAGGAGGAGGAGGAGGAGCCATTGGATTACTGTGCCAACCCCCGAGGTGATGAGAAAAACAAGGGCTGCATGTGTCCGACCCTGCCCTGCCAGCAGGAGCCTGTGCACCCTGAGCCCTGCTGCAAGCCAGGCACCCTTCTTACAAAGACCACTACCTTTTAAAGGATACCTCTGCCTCGGCATCCTTCCTCCTAGGATCTTGGCCTTCCGAAAGGGTGCCTCCATCTACCACAGGACCAGCACCTTCCAGTGAACATCATCACCTGAGAGCACCTTTCTCCACACCTACTGCTCCAGCTTGCTCCGTAGACACAGACTAAGGGTGTGACTCAACCTGTGTAAGTCCTTGGTGTGAGGGCTCCTTGCTTCTAGGTAGGACCTTTCCTTCATGTTAAGGTGGGATGGGGTTTGTACAAATGTTTGGACATTTTAGAGCCAGAGTCTACCCCTCTTTGCGATATCAAGTAGCACCTTACTCCAAGTCAGGTCTCCATGCTCTCAGGGGTAAGGGACCTCTCTGAATCCAGCATATTCTTTCCGTCACTCCCATTCATGACATTTCCATCCAGCAGTTCTCTGTTTGGCCTATATGGAATAGCCTGCTTCCTACGACCATGTTCAGGAGAGGGCACTTGGGCATAACTGTAAGCCATGGGTCCAAATCTCATAGCTGACAACATTGACAGGAATTTGCAGGCAATCTCACTGAGAATAGGACTTTTCCCTCTAAAGCCAGATTGGTAAACTGAGAGAGAAAGCATGAGAGAGTGAGAGGGAGCAAGATAGAAAGAGAGAGAACAAGAGAAAGGATTGCTCCTTTAATCCCTTGTGACCCATATCTGAAAGGGAATATGCCATCCTTTGTAATTAATGGCCTGGTATTCAAAAGGGCTCAGTTCACATTAAAAACTATGGAGGGTAGAGAGGTTGGGTTGCTGGGCCTTTTTGAAAATCTGTCCATTAACCTACTATAATTTCTCTAAAGGGAAAAACAGTGTCATAGTCTGCAGAAAGTGCAATGAATAACTGTGCCCTAGAGCAGAGCTGTCCAACTGGTGGCCCACAGTTTGCAGGGAACCCATGAGGGGTTAAATTGCAGCCTCAGGCTCTGACACAGCTGCCTCTCTCCCCATTGCTCTGGCTACAACAGCAGCTGGAGGCTCCAGGCTCCCCTCCCTGCAGCTTTCCCTTCCTGCCTCTTCACCTGCCCCAGGAGACAGGGCAGTGGAGTCCTCAGTGCCAGGGAAGCCCACATCTCAGGATGTCTGAGTGGCATGGTGGAAGAAGGGAGCTTGTAGTGGGGAAGGTAAGGGTGAATCGGAGTACATGCTACAGTGGGGAGGCACAGCAAGACCCAGCACAGGTGGCATGCAGTGAAGCATCAGGGGGTAGCACACAGTGCAGCTGGGGAGCACCCAGGAGCAGAATGCAACAGGGAGACCCCAGGCTCAGGGTGAAGCAATGAGGGAGCATGGAGGGCTAAGAGGGGGCACATGCATACATAGTGCAGCAAGGGAGGGTAGCTGTTTCCCCCAGGACTTATGGCTCCCACTAGTGCAGCCTTGGCTAATGTGACCTGAGGGACACACAGCCCCCAGCCATTTAAAAGTTGGACAGCCCTACCCTAGAGTACTGATTGAGGAGCTGTCCCTGTTCCTTAGTAAGACAATGAGAGTTTTGCCATTGACGTCAATGTGAACAGAATTCAGGGAGATAGGGGGCAAGGAAAGGGGATGTTGATTGAGGCTGTGTGTGGTTAGCTCTTCAGAAAGAACAACATTTGCAGGTGGCAGATATGCAGTTGTGCCATGCCATGTCATTTGAAAGAATCAAAGGCCAAAACATTGCCTTGGAATGTAATTAAGAATATTAGTTTTCTCACTGTAACAGCTACTTCTACTTTTCCTCTCCGCTGCCTTCGATCTCAGGAGGAACACAGTTCTTAATGCAGGTCTGACTTGGACCGGGGTATCAGTAAGTTTAGAGTGTTAGCACCTACTGCAGTATTCTAAAGGTTACTGAAAAATAAAAGTTATTTCATCGGTGTTAACTTATTGAAAGGTTGCTATTATTATTAATCCCACGTATAAACCAGAGCCCTCTGGTGAGACACCATATAAACACAGAACCAAAAGATGCTCCCTGACCCAAAAACCTTAAAATCTAAGTAGCCCCATTTCCAAAGACAACCACTACTACCAGGGCAGCTGGAGACAATTGTAATGTACAGTACTTCATTCTCAGTACACCAGTGAATACAATAAGGAGCCTATTATTGATTTATATAACATGCTGTGATCCTGCAGAGGGCCATTAATGCTGTTAATATTATCCTCTGTGGATAGTCCCATTGTTAGCCAATGGTTCAGTTCACCATGTGTAACATTAGACATGCACTTGAAAAGAGCAGGGCTGTGAGAGCCCTGGTGAGAGGGGCCAGCTTAAGGAGAAGGTTCTGTGTACTGAGTCAGCACCGTAAAATGGCATCAGAGAACTCCACATGTCACTGCACTAGTCTGGTTGGATGCATTCACCGCTCACTTTGCCCTTGTGTATATGACTATCCAAGATTCAGGGCCATGGAGAATCAGGCTGCACAAATCTTTGCACAACAATTGAAACTGGCTCGTGCATTTTTTCAAGCCATTGATCAGTCTTTAACTGCTTCATAGCCAGTTGATGTGGAAGCAGTTCCCAAAGGGCTGCATTCCCAGTTTCAGTAATCATTACAATGTTCCTAACTCTCAGTTAATTCATGTGGGAAGCAAAAGGATCCTGGCCTGGGAGGTGTCATTTAATAACATTTAATAATAATAAACATGTTCTTCAGCCATAAAGAGTATGAGTCAGATTTTGTTCTAGCCATTAGGTGCATAAGTGAATGTATGCATCTAAGTGTGATCCTATTTTATCTAGCATGACTCCTGAAAAACAGTTAATGCAAGCTTAATGGGTTCTCCTCCTCATGGCTTCTTGTGATTCAGTTTTCAGGCTAAGATGATGGCAGTAGCAAAAGTAAGCACGTTAATCTTTTCTCAGGACTCGAGCAGGGTGGAATAAGATCACACTTAAATAGGCACTTAAATACACTTCAATGCCTAGTAGATAGAGTAGGACCTGGCCTATAAGAAGTTGACTTCTGGGTGTGTTGCATGCCAGAATATTACCACTTTTGGGTTGCATGCCCTAGCACTCACCCCTACAGCTAGAAATGTAGCCAACCCACATCAACCTGACACATACTTCTATGTCTTGCTGCTGGATGAGTCTCGATGTGGCACATGATTCATGGCATTGTCAAACCTTGCCAATGTTTTGGCATAGGATCATTAATTCAAAGATTTTAAGACCAGGAGGGACAAAAGCATTTCTTCCAGATTGACCCCATGCCATCCAGCTGAACCAGAACATATCTTTTAGAAATACATCCATTAGTAATCTGACAACTCAATGTTACAGAGCTTGCCACATCCCATTGACACAATGCCAATGATTAATTAATCTCACTAATAAAAACACACATCTGATTTCTAGCCTGTGTTAGGATGGTAACAATGAGGAAGATTTTTAAATTTCCTCTTTTACAATTGGTTACAAAGTAGGTTTTTTATTTATGTCATATATTTTTTCACGTAAAGTACTTTTGGTTATTTTTCACTGTAAAAAGACTTCACAGTAACATGTTTAGAGGAAACAGTTTTAAAAAAAAAACCAGAAAAAAATTGGAGGGATTTTACTATTATTAATTAGAGAGAGAGCCCTTTTCAGTATTTTTCAGCCATTTCAGCTTTATGAGATGAGATTTTCAAAAGTGCTCAGAGCTTGGTATACACTGCAACACTGTGGGTGTGTCTGCAATTAATTTGCAGCAATAAACTTTGATACATATCACGCCAGAGTTTATTGCTCCCAGATGCACCATTTGAATGTGCATGGAACCGCAGCACATTGAGCAGGGTTGAAGCAGTCCTGGCTGGCAGGGGGCCAGCCTGCCAGCCTAGGGCTGCTGACCCAGCTCAGTGTGCTGCAGAAGGGCTGGCTGGGGCAGGAGGTTGCCATGCTCCAGTGCAGAGCTAGCCAGCAGGCAGGCCCTGCATTGAAGCACCCTCGTGCCCCAGTCAGCCGGAACAGTGTCTACATGTCTGTTGCTGCGCATAAAAAAAACTTTGCAGCAGGATAGTACTTGTATTTGTGAGTACTTACCTGCTTCAGAGTTTATTAGGTTCCTGCAGCCTTATAGGGCCTCACATATGGACGCCAAGATGTTTACTGCAGAGCTAATTAGGCAGCTCCGCAGTAAATGTCTCATGCAGATGTTCCCTGTGTCACTTAAACCACACTGGTTTAGATCACATTGGTATAGTTCAAGTGAAATTGAGGCTGCACTCCTTAAAGTAGATTTCGGTGTAACGTAAAGGTGCTCTATACCAGTGATGCTGTTCCCATACAAGTATAAAAATAAGCTATCCTAGGGTAAGGCCCTTTTATAGCAGGATAAATGCATCCACAACTCAAATTTGTACTGGGATGGTTCTACTGGTAAAAAAAATCACAGTCCTAATTGGGAGAATTCTAACGGTTCAGCTTTCAGTGTGGACCAGGCCTAGATCTGCTCCCACTCTACTTAATAGTAAAGCTCTTTCTGATTAAATTGGGAACCAAACTAGGCCAATTTCAGCGAAAATGTCAGTAGCATAACTAAGGGGGTGGGGGCAACTTGGGCACCAGCTCAGACACCAATTGAATGGGAAAGCACAAAACAGTAGCTTCTGCTACCCAAAGGTGCAAAACTGCCTGGTTATGCCTCTGGAAAATGCCACCATAGGGCCAAGTGCTCTGCATCAGCATGAAACAGGAAAGAGAACGTTATGGTGATTGTTTGGAACAAGGTTTTCTGGCTGTCCCTTTTTGCTCAGGATGTTGACCCAGACCTTATCTATATGGGGGCACTCAGGAAGGTGGATCTGAATTCGTCAAAAGGTATAATTTGAAAGTGGGTTCGTTAAATGGGTTAGTTAACTGGCATAACACCCTTGTGTGGACACTGACTCATAATCCATTTTAATTCAGGTAAGCTTGTCACACTTCAGGAATTGGCCAACCTTTTCAGTGCCCTAAACACAGGCTTGGGCCAATACATTCCTTGTTGTCAGGGGAGCAGA